CAAACTAGGACTGATCTTTCAGGCCAGATTAGATCTGCAACCCAATGGGGCACCCTGGCTGCGTGTCTAACAGGGCACCAAGGTCCTTGAGACTCCCTTAGGTGTATTTTAACTTGCTTGACCCAACAAGGACACATTTCTGAAAACTTGCACATTTCATGTTCGTGTTTGAAATATCACTCTTGAAGCTAGTTTTAAGAAGGTGTGTTAAAAGGTGGAAAATTCTAGAAAACAATACAGCAGCCTTGTGGGGGTGATCTGTTTAAGGGATAGTCATAGTTTATAGCCTTATCTCAAACTCCCCTCCCAACCCTGATCCTCCCAGAAATAAACCTACCAAAGGTCAGGGGTTGGGCCTAACTCCCCAGGCTGGTCCCTCCCAGGATGGGGAGCTGGGGCGGGCCTCTGTTCCTGTACCTGGCCCTGCTGGCGTCCTCTGAAGGGCAGGTCACGTAGGCATCCGCTTAAATCCCACCCACTGGGGAGCCTCCTCCAGAGTGGAGCTGAGAGAACAGAATTCTGCCCCCTCTGGATCCCACACGTCAGAAAGGCCTGGATTTTGAAGCAGGGTGGTGTGGGGTGAGACAGGGGAAGGGAGTGAATGTTTTCAGCACAAGCCCCTTCCTCCTGTACAGATGGAAACAGTGTCCTGACCCTTGATTACAGTCCCCAGGCTAATGCTCATCCCATCATCCTTCTACTGTTTTCCCAACACCTCAGTTAAGTTTTTAGCCTCTTCGGTATCTTCTGGACTGGACACTGACTCTCAACCAGGCTTTTGGAGAAAGTGACAGATCTAGAACTCTTCCTGGGACAGCTGTGTATACCTCTCACGAGAGTCAGGAGAACCTTACAAAATATTATCCTTAATTCTCATAGATCCCCAGGGAGCTGATAACATATCAGCAAGTGTGCTGTAGCTGAAACCACCAGAAGTGAAATAAATGGGTTTTCTCTCACATTTACCTGGGACAGGTGGCTGCATTAAGAATTTCTTAAAGACAATACTTAGATTTCTTATTTGTATTTTAAAGTTTGCATTAAGTACTAACTATATGCCAGGTCTGTATCAGTGACAGACCACTCTGGGCTCAAGTAGCTAACGTTCTTTTTTTTTTAACTTTTTATTTTATATTGGAGTATAGCTGACTAATAATGTTGTAACAGTTTCCGGTGGACAGCAAAGGAACTCAACCATATATATATATACACACACATGCATCCATTCTCCCCCAAACTTCCCTCCCATCCAGGCTGCCGCATCACCTTGAGCAGAGTTCCCTGTATTGTACAACAGGTTCTTATTGGTTACCCATTTAAAATAAATATAGTGTGTACATGTCGATCCAAACTCCCTAACTATCCTTTCCCCTCATCCTCTTCCTTCTCTAAGTCTGTGAGTCTGTTCTGTAAATAAGTTCATTTGTTTCATTTCTTTTTAGATTCTACATATAAGGGATATCATAGGATATTTCTCTCAAGGAGCCAACATTCTCTAAGGGAGACAAATACGTGACTGGATCATTACATTACTATATATGTATATGTGTGTATGTACACACTTAATCAATCATGGCATATGGCATGTTAAATAGAAGCATGTGAGTAAGCCCAGTAAGAGTAAGACAATTCTCGGGGGAGTAGGGGGCATAATAATTTAGGCCTTGAAGGATGAATAGGAGTTTGTCTTGGTTTACTCAGGGGGTGGGGAGACCATTTCTAATCTCGTCCTCTTAGACAGCTTCCTTACTCAGGAAGGTGGGCAGAGAAAGGCCTTGTGTGCACGCTCAGGGAGCGTTTGGAAGAGAAAGTGCAGACTAGGAGGGCCGGGCCACGTGGGTTCCATCGTGGACCATGGGGAGCCTCTGCAGGACTGTCCACCTGAGACCCAGGGACACAGGGGCTGTTTAGGATGGAGGCAAACACGAACTCCAGAGGCCATGAGAAGCTGAACCATGTCGACTCAGTGCTGAAGATGTGGGCAGGTTTGAGAGTTGGTAGTTAGAATTTGGACTATAACTTGGAGGGAGTGCCAAGGATGGGGAATTATACGCTTTTCCTGTAGCCAGTGCCCACCCCCCACCCCACCCCCACCTCCGGATCTCCTCGGTCCTGGAATGGGACACAGTCCATGGCGGAAGGCAGAATTTCAAGGTCTTTGAAGACTGCTTCTAAGCGAGGGAGGAGGGGATGTAGACCCTTGAGGTTGCGGTGGGTCTGGAGAACTGGCCTAAGGAGGAGCTGGTGCCATTCAACCCCCTTCTAGGGAGAACTTGAGGAAAAGCCTTGGGGTCAGGAGGGAACCACAGCCTCCCACCCAGCACCCGCCTGAGGCTTGGGGTGGAAGCAGGCAGCCTGGGAACCGGTCTGCCAACCAGTTTAACCAGGGACTGGTTTCGACTCTGGAGTTCAAAGGAGCTGGGTGCACCCGTTTCTCCCGCCAACGGGAGCAGCGGCCCTTAACCCTTTCCGGATTGTGCCTGGGGTAATGTCCAGGTGGCAGTTCATGCTGGAGAGGGGTCTGGCCTCTTTGGGGCTTGAAAGAGGTAGGGGTGACCTCAGTTACGGTTGGGGGTGCAAACAGGCACCCGAGAGTGGCAGAATGAGGCAAGAGGCTCCCTGGTTCTCCCCACCCCAATTTCCCTTGGGGTTCCCTCCTCCTGGCCAGGCGGTCCCTGGAGGACCCTGGCTTCTGGGTGGGTGCAGGGGTGCTGGGATTGGATTTCTGGGGTAATGAATATTCATCAGCTGAGCCGGCCTCTGCTTCTGTTTACTTAGCCGGGAGGGGCTGGGTTTCAGGTTCACCTTGACTCCCGGAGCCACAGCGGAGCAGGTACCGCTCCTGCACCTGTTTCTCCGCACCTGCTGCACGGCTGCTCCTACCCAGCTCTCCCAGCCTGAACCTTGCCTGGCGCGGCAGTCCGGAGGCACTCCCACCTCCCCCAGTCTCCCGGGGCGCAGCTCCTGCACTCAGCTCCTTCTCTAGAAAGCTCTCGCCTCCAGCCTCCCAGCAGTCGGGCTCACAGGTACCGGCAGAGGGTGGGCGGGAGGGGAAACCAAGGCATGGACCTCTGTCTGGGGACTCAGTTCTGCTTCCATGGCTGATACGCCCAGCTGGGAAGGGGGACCAGACATGCCGTCTCCCATCTCTCTCTAGGTGGGCAGACAGAGCTCGACTCATCCCACTGGCTTCTTGGAGTCAATCCAGGCCTCCAACAGAGCTCCTTCTGGGAAAGCTTTACTCCAGAGCAGTGATCTATTAACTCTTGCTGGACAGGAGCTTACCACCTGCTACCCCCTCCCCCACTGGAGGATGTTTCTGGCTGTCTGGTAGGAATATATCCCTGTCCTCTCCAGGGTACCTGAGTGTCACGCAGAGTGGAGAAGTACCACAGGGGCCGTGCAGAGATGCAAGGAATGGAGGTTCTGAGTTTTGTCTTACTGCAGGAAGCCGACTCGCCCCTTCAACCCCCCCTCCAGCCTTCCACCTCCACCCCAGTCAATGGTTAACTTGTTCCAGCTCAGAAGGAGCCCAACCCAGTCTGGGCAAGGCCCTTAGGGCAGTTCACAGAACCCAGCTGGCATGGTGGGAGCTGTCCTGGGGTGCCCAGATGCCTGCCAGGGTGCTGACCACCATAGGCAGGGGGTGGCAGGCTATCCTGTGAGGCCCTTGTGGATTCCTAAGCTGTGCAAACAGTGGAGGTGTAACTTGCATCTTCAGGGCTGATTTCTATCATCTGATGGATTGCAAGGCCCTGGGGCAAGGGCCCTGCCCTCAGTGCGCCTGCTCAGGCCCTGCAGAAGCAGGTATATCACCAACTGCTGAGTCGGTTCAAAATTCCAAGTACATCCCCTCCCCCAGGTCCCTCTAGCCTCCTCTGACTACACGTGGGATGTGATTGTTGGCCTCTGGGTTTTTGCAACTTTGGATACCTGGGAAGTTTGACTGTTGTGTCACATTTTTTTTTCTCTAAAACAAATCAGATTTTACACTATTTTAGGTAGCTCATGATTTAAAAGAATCTTGTAGCCTCCTTATTTTGAAAAACAAAGAATAGTCTGCAAATTGTTCTGCAAATTCAGATTTCCATAGATTAGCCTTGCTTAAAGGGCTAAACACCTGCTTACTGGCGTGTCATGTCCTCCTGGACAGAAGGGACAGCAAGGCCTAGCAGAAAGCATTTTGGAGAGACCAGAATTCAAGGCCAGGAGCAAAGGGCACTGATAACTTGGTGCCATGGTGAAAGCTCCAGGGCAGGACCCAAGGGCTACTCTGACCTCTCTCTGTGGCTTTCTGACAAGTGGCTCCCTTTACTCCAAGGAGAGTTAAGACCCATGCATGCCAAGTTCAAATACCTGTTAAAGTGGTATATTTTAAGTGGCACAAGCAGAGGGTACTCTCATAGAGCAAGGCAGTTTGGTGGTTACTGTTGTTTCAGGAGCTGAATCCTCCATTCCCCAAGTTCCTTAGCAGTCCCAGATGGGCCATGGTGGGGTTGTGAGTTTTGCACCAGACCAGGTGGTGACTGGGGCAACCATAGGCCAAGCAAGCACCCTGTCCCTCCTTCCTGGCCCTCCCCACGGCTCCTTCCAGAAACCCATTCTGGAACACCAAGTTCTGTGCAAGGCTGTGCTAAGCCCAGGTGGGGCAGGCTGCCAAAGCAAAGCTCTCAGGCTGTCTCCTTGGTGCACCACCTCTCCAGGGTGCCCTAAAAGTATTTACCTGACCACTCACCCCTCCTTCACTTTCTAAGTGGGAGCTGCACTAGCTCTCCTTGGGATTTTCTTGCTTCTTGAGCTCAGTTCGAGGGACAGAGCTGACAAAGTGGCATCTGCTTCCTGGACAGAGAGGTGGGGAGGAATCCCCTTGCTCTGGGCAAGTGGATGGATATATGCAGGGCCAGGGGACAACCACAACAAGGAGGCCATGGACGCAGGCACTCAGTTCATTTCAAGCTTAGGTCAGCATCCTGCTTTCATTTCTTTCTTTATTTTTCTTTTTAAATACTTTTTTGGCTGAACTGCACAGCATGTGGGATCTTAGTTTCCTGACCAGAAATCAAACCCATGCCTTCTGCATTGGAAGCATGGAGTCTTAACCACTGGACTGCCAGGGAAGTCCCTCTTTCATTGTTTATGAATTTGACCTGCTCCCCCTCTAAAAAAAACTCCAGGCTCATTATGGAAAATCTGGGAATCAAAAAAATAAAATAAAATAATATATATATATATATATATATATATATATATATATAGAGAGAGAGAGAGAGAGAGAGACAGACAGACAGACAGACAGACAGACAGACAGACAGACAGAGAGGAGAAAACATCCTATATTCCTACTACAGAAAGAAAACCAATATTAATCATTTGTCATATTTCTTCAGGTCTTTTTAGAAAATGTAGTTAAGACCATTAGTTTTTAAAAGTGGGTGATACATTTGCCTGACCTTGGGCTGGTTGATCAGCTAGCTTTCCGGTGTGCTGTGGCTATTGCACCCTCCTCCTCAGGACTTGCACAGCTCACACTGATACCGAGTCCAAGCTTGCTGTGTTCGCTACACGACAGGCCAATGAGTCGGAGAGACGAGGTGTTGAGGCAAGGAATACAATTTTATTCAGAAAGCCAGCTGACCAAGAAGATGGCAGACTAACGTTTCAAAATAACCATCTTTTCAGGGTCTGAATGCCAGGTTCTATGGATCAGAGATGGCAGGGAGGAGGAAACAGTAAAAGGGCCATTAATTTTGCAAATATCTCCTAGAATGGTAAGCCTCAGGCAGGGGATGTGTGAGGTTCTTCCTTCCTACCATCTATGGGTGGACAGGGTTCTGAACAAAGGCACTTTAGTTTAACAGACAGAGGGGCAGGATTCTCTGAGACAGGCCATTATGTATGATTATAATAACAAAAGCAATGGAAAGCAAGTCAAGGAAACAGTTTCAATATGGAGCCAGTATTGACTTCTCCCTGCAACAATACCACAGAGTTCTGAAAATCAGACCACCAACCTCTCCAGGCCCAAAGATATTTCCATTTCTCATCACTCTGCCTGCTCTTTCGTTGATCTTGATATCTCTAGCCTATACTCTCTTTTTCTTGTGGTGTCCAGATAACTTCATCTGCCAAAACTTCCACCAGCTCAGGCAGCAACTTCATGGAATAGTAAAAGGTGAGGCCACTACTGTGTCAGACACACCACATTGTCAGTGGAGAAGCTTGGCTTTCAGACCCCTGCCCCACCTCTCATGGGGTATCCTTATGGAGGGTCCAGCCTGTGATAACTGGACTCTACATGTACCTCTTGGCCCCACCAAACCTCCCTCCAAATGTTCAGGTTCCCTTCGAACTCCTGTCCTTATGGAAGCTGTATGGGGAAAGGGAACCACCCCTAAATAAGTTTTACTTTGCAAAGCACATCTACCTCGTGGGCAAGGATGAACATTAGAGCTGAACATTAGGTCTGGAAAGGACAGGTGCGGACACTGAGGTCCAAAGATGTACCTTGCCAGAGGTCACGAGGCTGGAATGGTTCTCAGGACTTCCCACTCCCAGCCTGATGTTTCTCTCCCTTAGAAAAACCACAGCTGGCCTGGAGGTATAGCTCTGGGGTAGAGCATTTGACTGCAGAAAAACCACAGCTGCTTCTTCAGCCCCGGTGGTGACCACAGGGAAGTCCAAATTACTCTGAACATCGCAAATCCTGTTTAATTTTGTAATGAATTCCAAAGAAAATGCATAGGGTGTTTCTGTCCGTCTGATACCAGCTGATCACCTGTCTGCTCCTGGCAGCAGGGCCTGGAGGCATAGCGGGAAGAGCTTGGGAAGGTGGCCAAGGCCCAGCTGCTTATGACCCAGCAAGCTATTCACCCTCCTGCAGCTCCAAGGGGCCTGGAGTGTCAAGCTGCTGGGCAGCGGTGTGTAGCTGTCCCACTGTCCCGTCTGCCTGGCTCAGATGGCGTCCCCGTGGATGTTTGCTTGACCGCCTCTTCCCCAGACCCCTCTCTCTCCTCATGTTCACCAAAAGGATTGCATGGCTTACCTGAATCCTGGGTTCACTTGGCCCTACCTTCAATTCTTTCAAGCCTGGTTGGGAGACTAGAAAGGGCTGCTCCAAAGCCCCTACCTCTTCTCCCCACTGACCGCTTTCTCTACACCCCCTGCTCCTGCAGGAAGCCCCACCCTCAGGTCTGGGAACGCCATGACCGAAGTTGGTTGGTGGAAGCTGACCTTCCTGCGGAAAAAGAAATCCACTCCCAAAGTGCTGTATGAGATCCCTGACACCTACACCCAGAGTGAGGGTGGTGCGGAGCCCCCAAGGCCTGAGAGTGGGAGCCCCAGCAGCAACTTTAACACCCGCCTGGAGAAGATTGTGGACAAGAACACCAAGGGCAAGCACGTCAAAGTCTCCAACTCAGGCCGCTTCAAGGAGAAGAAAAAGGTCCGAGCCTCATTAGCAGAGAACCCCAACCTCTTTGATGACAGGGAGGGCAAAGGACAGTGAAGGGGGCTGAGGAGGACGCTACCACCTGCCCGCTCCCTGCCATCAGCTGGGTCTGAGACAGGAGCTCACCACGCTGGCCTCTCTGGCCACAGCTGAAGCCGTGGGGGGACTTGATGCCTGCTGGCAGGAAATGTCTGGTTTTAGGTTTGTATTTATGTGCTCTGGCTTTCTGGAAGGCCTGAGAGATCCCAGGTCCTCCTGCCCTCCCCCACCACATACAAAGGCACTTCAGTTCAAGGTTGAAAAGTCCCACTTGGGAAGGACAGCCCTCCTGGAGGCACTGGCAGCACCAGCAGGGAGGTGGGCGTGGAAGGAATGGAGCAAGGGATCCGGACAGACCTCACCCCCTGCTGGGGCACAGGGTCAAGGGTGAGTTTAAATGACTGCTCCCTCTACTTTCTCTACCTGTGATTATTCTCTGGATCAATTCTGAGTGCATTTTCCAGAAGCCACGTGATGGGGGTGGTTTCCTGGAGCAGAGGTGGAGATGATGAACTTGAGCTCACCTCCTAAGTCAAGTGGGAAACTTCCTGGAACTTTGCCCCCAGCTGTGTGCGGGGAGGGGACACTGGCACTCCCTAGGAGGTGCTGCAGAAGGCCGGACCAGGGACCCCACAAGTTCTGCATGCACCCTCAAAGGGAAAGTACACTGCCCCTCGGGTTCAAACCTGGAAAGAGGGTGGGAAGTTCTGGCAGGAGCCCTCCTACTCCTACTAGTATTTAAGATGGATCAGCCCCAGAGATGAGTCCTGGAGCCTTGAATTTTCTTTAAAAGAAAAAAAATTGTAGGTTTCTTTTTGTAATAAACAATGCTGCAAAAGCAGAGAACCTATGTACGCTCTTGTCTTACATTTACTGAGATGCTGTTTTTCATGACTTTACTCTTTTTTACTTTGTGTTAAAACTGTTCCTTTTGAGCATCAGGAAAGGTGCCCAGGTGAAAAAATATAATGCATGGGGCCCTAACTTCACCACCAAGCCATCTTAGCATCTGGAGATGGAGAGAGCAAAGGAAGGAGCTAGTTACACCTCAGCAACAGAAAGGCTTTCAGGTGCTCCAAGAGAATGGAGTCGACCTCTGGTGACTGACCCCCAAATCTCAGGGGTTTAGTTTGGGATCCAGATTCACATTCTGGTTCCTCCTTTAGCAGCTGGGTGATTTGGGGAACATTAAAAAGCAAAAACAAAAGCTCTGAGCCTCAGCTTCCTCTTCTGTAAAAGGGGCTGTACTAATATCTATTTCACAGAGAGTGGCCAGTATAGGGCTTACCTGGCGGCTCTGCAGTAAAGAATCCACCTGCAATGCAGGAGTCACAGGAGATGCAGGTTTGATCCCTGGATTGGGAAGATCCCCTGGAGGAGGGCATGGCAACCCACTCCAGGATTCTTGCCTGAAGAATCCCAGCGACGGAGCAGCCTGGAGGGCTGCAGTCCAAAGGGTCGTGAAGAGTCGTGAAGACATGACTGAAGAGACTTAGCACACGTACATGGTCAGTATTATATGACCCATAAATAGTCCTATGTATGTGCCCAATGAATATGTTTCCTTCCCTTTTAATTTTTTTTTTCTTTTTCTTTTTTTTTTTTCGCTTTCTTTTATGAAGGAACTCCACCACAGCTCATGCTTCCGTTTAAGGATGAAGAGAGAGCTTACTCCCTATGCTGTTAGGTCTAGACCCTCCTCAAGCCCCAGGAGCTGAGAACTGGAAAAAAATTGGCCAAATCTCTGGAGCTCATGGTGGGAACAGAGAGAGACCGAGGTGACAACTAAACAATGTGATTCTGTGGCTTCCAGGTCAGCTCCTTGCAGGCTGCTGGGCCACCCCAGGGAGGTTACTCAGGACATTTACCAAAACAAACAGACTTGTACAAGGGGGCCTTTGTTAGCTGGCCTCACCCAGGCTAGAGGGAACTCTGAAGAAGAGGGAGGGAGACCAGGGACTGGAGGGAGGGAAGGCGGGCTCAGGTGTATGGCCTTTCCCCAAGCCTCTTCCCCATCCCTCCCCACCACATGTAACTTTCTAGGGTCCCTACAATCATTCAGTCCATAAAGCCTCCCATGGAGGAGCTGACTTTCCACCGACTGCAGCTCTGCCCAGAGTTAGCAGCTGATAGAGGGTTTATAATCAGCCAGCTCTGTGGCGAGTACCCCCATGAAGTTCCTCCTGTAACCCTCTCATCATAGGTGCTGTCATTATCACAGTTTTCTCGTTTTCCAGCTGCATTAGCTGAGGCTTAAGAGATTAAGTCACCAGACCTGGGTCAGGGGTTCCTAGTGGCAAAGCTGGGGCTGAGGCCAGACCTGTGCATATGGCTGCCACACCACACAGCCCCATTCACACTGGGTTTTTATCTGCTCAGGGAAGGGAAGCCCGGCGTGCTGCAGTCCATGGGGTTGCAAAAAGTCGGACAGGACTGAGCAAATGAACAACGGGGAAGGGAAACTGAGGCTCAGAACAAGGAAGGAGTACAGTCACCTGCAGTGGGGAGGTGGGTAGAGAGGGCCGTGCCTGGGCCTTGGGGTCCTGGGAGGCAAGCATCCTCTGAGGGGGCTGCCCAGAATCTGGAACCAATGAGGAAAAGCCAACCAGCTCCAAGGGTGAGACCCCAAACCACAGGCACCTGCCGCTTCAGCCATCCTGAGGTTCCCTGAGCAAGAGATGGGGAGGGGCGAGAGGCTGGGCCCCAGGCCACTGACCTGTGGTTCTGTTTCATACTGGCAACCACCAGGCCACTATTTTCCCTCTTAGGTGAGAGGATCTGCACGCTCCTCAACCCTGTGCATGCCGCTCCACTCCATGGCCCCAAAGTGATGGCCACAGAATCTCCCATGAAAACTCCACACATATCCCTAAGTTAAGGGATGGACGGATGGGCTGAGGGAGGTAATAAGAGCCAAAGGAGGCCTGGTTGCCCAGGAAGTCAGTGCCCAGGCAGCCACAAGTGTTCACCAGGCCAGAGGAGGAAGCGAGAGTGCAAATATGAAAGTATGAGCAGGAGAGGGAGAGGCTACGGTTATTGGCCATAGTTTCACTGGGACAGGACCCAAGAGGGGAAAGGGGGGCAGGAGGGGCCGACCAGAACTGGCCTGTGCTGCCTAGAAGGGGCCAACCCTGGGCATCGGGCTCCCCCTGCTGGACACCCAACTTCCCCAAGTGGAGAAGCCAGGTAGGAGTTGCTTAAATTCTTCAAGTCCCCTCAAACATCGGGGGCGGGGACGAGACCAGGCTAGATTGAATATTTACATCATGCATGGCTGATGAGCTTTTATTTTAGACTTGGCACAGGGACTGTCAGACAGAGGAAAGGAAAGGAACAGCTGAGACCAGGCTCAAAGCAGGGGGTATACACAGACCCCACAACATAACAGGACAAGGTGGGGAAGGGCACTCCGGCACCCTCTCCTGCAAGTGGCCACATTGTGCCTTCCTGCACCCCCCGGCTTAAGGAAGCCGGTGTGGGTGGGGGGTGGTCAACACCCAGAGGGCCGCTCTTGGAGGAGGCAGTCAGTAACAGACGCCAAAGCACACTCCCATACAGTGGAATGAAGCACAGTTTACAGAGTTGCAAGCTCAATGGCCAATGTATGCAAACAGTCAGTTCTCTGATCTGGCTTAGTCACAGCAGACATTTGCCCAGCCTGGCTCCTCTCTGCAGCCTGGAGGCCACTCATCCACGTTATCCCTGGTCACCAGACTTGTGCTCAAAGAAGACAAAGACTATAGGTCAGCACAGGCCTCAGCCAAGTGCTACCAAAGAATCCAGCTGCAGAAGTGGTTGGTTTAGAGGTTGAGGCTAATCTGGTTATGTGGAAGCGGAGGTGGTCTTGTTTAAAGCAGCGTGGGATTCAATGGGTCTGGGGTAGGCTCCCAGGGGAAGCCAAAGCTGCAGGCCTGTGGACTACACTTCAAGTGAATGAAAGGCGCTCAGTCGTATCTGACTCTTTTTGACCCCATGGACTAGAGAGTCCATGGGATTCTCCAGGCCAGAATACTGGAGTGGGTAGCCTTTCCCGTCTTCAGGGGATCTTCCCAATCCAGGAATCAAACCCAGATCTCCTGCATTGCAGATGGATTTTTTTACCACCTGAGCCACAAGGGAAGCCCCACTGCAAGTAGCAAGGATCTATTAACATGGGCTCTCAACCTTGGCTGCACAGAATTCCCAAGGACCTTTGAAACTTCCCCAAGTCCTGGCTGCACTCACACTGGTCAAATCACCTTTGAGAGTGGGACTGAGCAGCAGGGTTTTTAAAGCTCCTGGGTAATTCCAGTAAAAATTCAGTAGGGGTGGCAGGGAGGTAAAGGGATACATGTCAGAAAAGTATAAGCTCTATTATTTAATTTTATATCTGGAAAAAGAAATACATATAAATGTATGTATATATGTATTTCATATACATATGTGCTGTGCTAAGTCGCTTTAGTCGTGTCTGACTCTTTGCGACCCTATGGACTGTAGCCTACCAGGCTCCTCTATCCATGGCATTCTCCAGGCAAGAATACTAGAGTGGGTTGCCATGCCCTCCTCCAGCGGATCTTCCAGACCCAGGGATTGAACCCACATCTCTTACATCTCCTGCACTGGCAGGTGGGTTCTTTACCACTAGTACGACCTGGAAAGCCCTCACATACATCAAGTTTTTATAAACAAATGTGGAAAGTAAGGCCTGATGAAAATCTTCCTGACCACAGGTACTAGCATGAGTTCCTTCTATAAAACTCCTGTCTGACAGGGACAGAACACTCACTACCTGACCTACTCCCTCTTAAGCAGCCCCAATTGAAATTTCTTCCCATACTGAGATAAAATCTAACTTCATGTAACTTCCACCTATGGGTCCTTTGGAGCTACAGAGAATAAATTTAGTCTCTTTTCCACATTGCTCCTCTTCAGATAATGGAGGGCAGCAATCAGTTGGGTAAGAGGTTTAAAAATATCCTACTAGTAACTGAGTGCGTTAAGGTTCTTTTCGTTGCAAACAAATCAATTCTGACTGGTTTAAGCCAAGAAAAAAAAAAAAAAAAAACCTCTCTCTTTTTAAATTTAATTTTATTTTTTTTCCTCTCTCTTTTTTTTAAGAGATAATGGGGGTTTTCTGAGGTAGGAGGAGGAATTGCACAACCCCAGGCATGGGAAGGAGGGATCCGTGGATCGTTCAGGGAATTTGCAAGAGCAGCAGCCAGAAGTTGCTGTTTCTAGGCCGTCATTATTTACTTGGCGGCTACAATGGTTCCTGTGCTCTGAGTCTCTAGAGTTCAAATTTCAAATTTGAAGGAAAAGAAAAACCCATTGGCTAGATTGCCTCGGGTGCTTCTGCTGGGACCAACTGGGTCTGGCCAGACTCTGTCATGTGATAACAGACAAGGCTGCTGGGGGCCCACCCCTGTCACCGGAAAAGGGAATCACATCAGCTCAACCCCTAGAGGGAGCTATTCCAATAAATCATAGTTAAGGTCAAGAAGAAAATGACGAGATTTTCCATTTGTGATCGTCTGTGCCACTGTTAAACTCCACTAGACTAGCTGACTACAGAGAATTCTGAGGGTAAACACTGAAGGGCCCTGAATGTAAGAGGTAGGAAGGGAAGTGGCTTGAGTTTAGAAGGGTCTGGCCCCCCCATCCCATACCCTCTCTGGGGCACTGGCCCCAGCTCCACTCCGTGCCAGCAGGTTGGGAGTCAGGGCGCAAGTCTCTCATAGAGCCAGTCTTCCTCCCCTCGGTGGGTCATGGGCCCCAGAGGGGCGTCTCCCGTTAGTAGGCCTCGTCGAAAGACGATCCGGTCGTGCAGGCGGTTGGTTTGGCCTTGCCAGAACTCCATCACCTGTGGGTACAGGATGTAGCCACCCCTACAAGGAGAAGTAGACGGCTTGGTGCTCTGTGCATCTTTCTAACCAGGCAACTGCCACCACCCTCCACGCCATCCCAGAGTCCCGTGAAGGAAGCTGCTGGCATGCATCTGACAAGGGTTGCCAGGGAGGAGTGTATCTGGAATTCCAAGGACAGCATGGCTTCAAGGAAGCATGAGGGTCCCAGTGTCCCTTTCTAGGTGACCCCCGGTATCACTCACCAGTATTTTGGCTTTGGCACCTCCTGTTCCTGGTAGAGTTGCTCCAGTTCCTTATTTTTCTTTCTCAGATACTGTCCAGGGGAAGGAAACGAAGAAAGGGCCAGACTCAGTCAGTGCTTCATTGAATCACCACTTATAGGGCCTGTGCTCTGTGCCAGGCTGGGGACACAGGTGACCTCCACCGGCCCAGTTCAACAGGAGGGTCAGACAGACACAGGAGGCCTGTTCCCTGCTCCCCATATTCACATCCCCCACTTTCCCATCCATTTCACTTTGCTGGAAAGAGAGGGCCCTGGCATCCCCTGGGGACAGCCTCTGGGGCTGAGCCAAGGCACCCACCACTCAAAGGACTAAGGAGAAGCCCCACTTACCTCCCTATCTGGGATCACGGAACTCTGGTGACTGACCACAGCCCCAATCTGGCTGCTCTTGGGGCGAGAGTGGAAGTAGCATTCAGCCTCCTCCTCAGGCAGCTTCTTCACGGGCCCCTCCACACGCACCTGCCCATGGATGGCCTTGGTTAGAGAGCATTCAAGGCCACCTGCTCTCCCAATCAGCACTGGCCCATCTTCTTTGTTCTTCTCTTTAGCCACTGCCCTATTGCGCCTGACTCCAGGTAGCCCAGCTAAGTGAGAGCCATTTGAAAGGCAGGATCTTTGTGCAGCCTGGGGACCTTCACCAGCTTCATCCATAAACTACCTCCAGTCCACCCCTGGCTGTCCCAGGAATGCTCACTCACCTGACGGTGCAGGGGCTCCCAGTAGAAGACAAGGGAAGCAAAGGGATTCGAGTCCTGGAAATGGAAGAGAATCCACAGTCAGTCATCAGGACAGGAGAGAGGATGCCTGAGCACAGGGGGAAGGCAGGGGGTCTGCACCACGCAGGCCCACTGAAGATGCATTTACTGTAGCATCTCATTAAGTTCTCAAAGGTAGGCCTACTTTTACAGGTGTGGAGATAGGCTCAGAGAGCTTCAGTAACATGCCCGGGTTTACAGAGTCAATGGAAGACCTGCACTGAAAACCTCAGCCAGATGGACTCCAAAGGGAGGCTTGCCATGTCTCTCACCCACAGATTTGCAAATCCTCTGAAATGCACATTTGACTGCACTGGACTCGGGGAGGGCTACTCATTTTGGATTCATTAACTGAACAATACGAAGTGCCAGCTCTGTGCTCAACACCAGGAGAGGTGCTGGGGGTATAACAGAGACACCTCAGAGGCAGCCTCGCCCCCACGGAGCTTACCGTTTAGCAGAGGACATAAACATTGATCACATAACCCCCCAAATACATGCAGTTAGAAACTAAAACAATGGCAGAAAGGAAATTTGTAAATTATAGTGACCGCAAACAGTGAGAGGGGCTGGCTCAGCCTGGGAGTCCAGAGGCTTCCATGAGGAGGTGATGTGGGGGCTGAGACCCGAAGAAACAGGAGCTACTCAGACAAACAGCTGGGGAGGTGGAGGTGCTTAAAGCTTGCCCTCATTCACAGCAGAGAGAAGGCAAGTGCAAAGGCTTCTAGTCAGGACAGCGCCTGAACACGGCTGGCAGGTGGGCTGGGGCAGGGGTGGCATGAGGAGGTGACCAGCCACCCAAGGCTGGACGCTGCAGGCCCAGGAAGGATTTACCGTGAACCCTCACCAGCTCTTTTCCCTTTCGACTCTCGAAGTTAGTGAAGAAGCGGAAGCCATCCTTGCCAAAGCCCTTCAGTAGCACCATGCGGGCAGACGGCTTCCCATCTCTAGGGCGAAGAGCAGAGCACCACGGTCAGGGGCCCTCCCCACAGGATGTCTGAGCACCCCGACACCTGTGCCCCCTTATTCTGCACTCTCTGGGCACTCAAGCTGCCCATGGGAATTTGTCCCAGAGGTGCAAACATGACACCGTTGCCCAGGGCCCTATAATGGACTGAACTGGGTTCCACTAACAGTTTTGAAGCCCTCACTCACACTGTGACTGTATTTGAAGATGGGACCTTTAGGGAGTGATTAAGATTAAATGAGATCATAAGCATGGGACTCTAATCCAGTAGGACTGGTGTCCTGATAAGAAAAGGAAGAGACACCAGAGAACTCCCTCTCTCCCTGCATACACAAAGGGAAGGCCATGCGAGAACACAGCAGAAAGGCAGCCATCTGTAAGCCAGGACTCGAGAGAGGCTTTGCTAGAAACCAACTCTGACAGCACCTTGATTTTGGACTTGTAGCCTCCAGACCTGTGAGACAACAAGTTTCTGTTATGCCACCCAGTCTGTTACGGTAGCCTAAGCAAACCGGCTCTGGGGGATATCCAGGGGCACGGTACAAGAGCCCTGCCTCCAAAGCCTTACACTTCAGTGACGAGGGGGAAGAAGGGTTGAATAAGGGGCTAATACAAGCGATGTCTCAAAGAATTTATTACTGACTGTCAAACGAATGATACAAACCAGCACTGTGCTAGATTTCAAGAGAGGGAGATGGCTTTATGGAGATCTACCTCCCCAGATGGGAACTGGGGAGACTGGGAGCTGAGAGAGACAAGGGTGTGTGTACTGGGAAGTGGAAGCATCAAGGGCAGAGATGAATGAGGCACTACAATTTATCACTAAATGGAATTGAGTCAAGTGTAATCTTTGGTTTACAGGTAAGGACACTGAGGCCCAGAGAGGACAAATTACTTGCCTGAGGTCACACAGCATGTTAGTAATAGAACTAGAATCACAAAGTTGTCATCCATCAAACTGAGAGCTTCCTGTTTCCTACTTCATCTGTACCCACCTACAGAAGGGCCCACGGCTGTGCCTACCTCGTACACGTAGCCAGACACATGGCGTTGGCTTCCATTATCTCGGGACACTGAACAGCCTCCTCGAACCAGGCAGCAAACTGCTTCACAGGGTCCAGGGAGGTCAGATGAGTCTCCTCAAATGCCTGGGAAGGGAGAGTTTTATTTCATTTAACAAACACACAGAGTGTTGACTGTGTACATGCTCTGTTCTAGGCACTTATCAAGTGTTAACTCATTTAGTCCTCATAACAAAATCCTGTCCCCAGGAAGGTTCTGTTAGCCTCATGTTATAGGTGAGAAAACAGGTACAAAATGGTGAATAATTTGACAAATCAGGGTTTCATGTCAAACCTATCACCCAGGAGGCCTAAAAAAAAAAAAAAAACAACCCTGGGCTCCACCCAGTAAATTCTCATTCAGCAGGTCAATTGCAGGAAGGGGGACCCCTTCCAGGGCCTGAGAGTGGGCTCTTGTCTGACACTCAGAAATGAATTGTCCGAGGAGGTACTCTTGCTGACAAAACAAGAGACGTTATTGGGATGGGGCGCCCGGGTGGAAAGCAGCAGGGTAAGGGGACCCAGGAGGGCTGCTCTGCCATATGGCTCGCAGTTTCATGTTTTATGGTGATGTTGTTGGTTTCCGGGTTGTCTCTGGCCAACCATTCTGACTCAGGGTCCTTCCTGGTGGCACACGCATTGCTCAGCCAAGAGGGATTCCAGTCAGAAGGATTCTGGGAGGTAGGTAGGACATACAGACTGTCTCCTCTCTCCTTTTGACCGTTCTCAAATTCTTCTAGTTGGTGTTAGCTTGTTAGTTCCATGTTCCTTCCCAGGACCTCTGGTTTAAGATAACTCATGCAAGTGGTTACTTTGGGGCCTGGCCAGGGCAGAAAGTTTGGGTCAGTGGTTCCCCTAACAAGTCTGAGATTTAATGAAAAACTGCATGTTTAACAAGCATTTCTGGAAAAGTTCACATGCAACTAGATTTGGTAACCAGGCTCCGGGCCCTAATTCCAAAATAGTTCTCTTGGTTTCTCTTCTGAGGAGAGAAAAGGAAGTAAGATCCAGGAGCTTTCTCCTGCACTCCTGGGTAAGTTATTTCTCCTCCTCAAAGTGTTATTTATTTATCAAACATTTATGGACTTCCCTGGGGTCCAGCGGTTTAAAATCCACCTGCCAATGCAGGGCGCTGGGGTTTGATCCCTAGTCTGGGAAGATCCCACATGCCGGGGGGCAGCCTGAGGGCCACAGCTACTGAGCCCATGGGCTGCAGCTATGGGAAGACGGCACACCTAGAGCCCCATGCTCCCCAATGACAAAAGCCTTTGCCCAAGGAAGACCCAGAGCAACCAAAAATAGACAAAATAAATTAACTAGTTACATTTAAAAACAACAACAAACATAAGCTTCCCAGGTGGCTCAGCGGTCAAGAATCCACCTGCCAATCCAGGAGAAACGTGTTCTAATCCCTGGGTCGGGAAGAGCCCTGGAAATGGCAACCCACTTCATTATTTTTGCCTGGGAAACTCCATGGACAGAGGAGCCTGGTGGGCTTCAGTTCATGGGGTCACAAAGAGTTGGAGACGACTCAGTGACTAAACAAGCTGATTATCACTGTTTTAGGCACTTTACTAGCTTCACTACTTTGGCCACCTGATGTAAACAGTCAGCTCATTGGGAAAGATCCTAATGCTGGAAAGATTGAAGGCAAAAGGAGAAAGCGGGCAAAAGAAGAGGGCAGCAAAGGATAAGATGGTTATATAGCATCACCGACTCAATGGACATGAACCTGAACAAATTTGGGGAGATACTGAAGGACAGGGAATCCTGGCCCGCTGCAGTCCATGGGGTTGCAAAGAGTGACGCAACTTGGCGACTGAACAACAGAGGTATTTTACAAATATCAAAGCCCGTAACATCCCCGTGAGGTCAGTGATAAATTACTTGTGAAGTGAGGAAACTGAGACCCAGAGAGGTGAGTAAACCTCCCAAGAGATGCGCCCAACGACCGGCAGGATTCCTCCCAGGCAATCCCCGAGTGAGCGCCCTGAGTGCCTATAACGAGCTGCCTCTGGAGTCCACCTTCATCCTCGCTTCTCCAGAAACCCTCCCCCATTAATGGTCTTTGAACCCCCGCTTCTCCCATAGGGGTAACCCCGAGCCCCAAGAGGTGGATCAGAAACCCCAGGGGATCCCTTCCATGACCCTCCCCTCGTGAGATGACTGCGGAGGCCCTGCAGGGCAGCGCACCTCTGGGTCCCCGCGGTAAGTCTTGCGCATCGGTCCTAGGTCCATGGCAGCACCGCGGCTGTAGAGGTGGCGGAGGCAGCGGGGCCACTCGGCGGGTCGCCCAAACGTCACGATGACGCTCCGCAGCCAGAATGTCATGGGGCCGCTGGCCACGTTACCCGGCGTGGCTCCGCGCGGGGTTCCGTTGGGTTCGGAACCAGTGTCTTAGCCCGGGAATCTTCCGGCAAGGAAGAATTTACCAGTCACCAAGACAGGCGGACAGCCTAAGTCCTCCGAGCCAACGGGAGCCAATGGGAAGCCAGAGTCGGTGGAGGGAGCCGGGAGCGGAGAGGCCATTGGTTGGAGTTTTCCAGGAGCGAGGCCAATTAGAACAAGAACAGAGGAACCCGGCAGCCAATGGACGGCGCCTCCCGGGGCGGGAGCAGAGAGACAAGGAAATGCTGTCACCGCGGTTAACACGCACGTGGAGGTTTGTTAAAGGTATAGGGACTGCAGCGGCCCAGGCGGGAGGGGCAAGGTAGGAGCCGCTGGGGGCTTGTGGAGATAGTCAGTCTTAAGAGGCCTGCCCCTAGCAGATGCCCGAAGGCTAGCTTAGAGTTTGGCGGCCTGGAAAGGACAAACGGAAAATGGAATTAGGGGCCAGACTCTGAGGCCAGGTGAAGTGCAGACACAGAAAGGGGCGATCTGGTGGGGGGATGAAATTTGGGCTCGAGAGTGGGAGAGGTTGAAATGTGACTTCGGGTCTCGCGGGATAGGCGTGTGTATATAATGTGTGAGTATGGGGAGGTGCCCTGGTGTCTGGGAGGAGCAGTTGGGTGAAGAGGAGACTATGGGTAAGAAAGCAGATGGCCAAATGGGAAAGGGGAAGAGGGGAATTTGGGATCAAACCATCCCAGATGAGAACCATCTTCCTCCTTCAGCTCTGAGTCGCCGCGCTCCAGCCTCATTTCCGTAATGCAGGTCAGAGCGTGCTCCTCCCTTTCCTCGTGGTCTCCTCTTTTGTGGTCGCCGCAGAGTTCATACTACCCAGTGTTCCAGTAGATGGAAGGACTGCCCCACTGCTCCGGGGCCGCCTTCCTCTTTGTTGTTTCCCCCTTTTCACATTTTGCCCCTTCTAGGTAGTTGGAGTCTAGTTCCCAGGTCAGTGCCAGCCATAATTAAGGGCACAGGGGAGCAGGTTGCCATGCAAAGTCACTTCCAGGGGCTGTGGACTAGGGGCTGAGTAATAGGATACTTGTCAGTGCCCATTCCAGCTTTGACTTGGCTGGGCAGCCTAGGGTCAAGGCCTCTCTGTAGTCCTTCCTGAACATCAAGCAGGGGAACTGCAAGAGCCTTTTAGGCAGGCACCCCAGGACTGTATCAGGAAGGGGAACTTCCCTGCCCTGCCCTGGTGTTTGCATTACTGCCGAGCTTCATTAAGCCCTACATTAGATGACTGTCATCCTTTATTATGTGCATGTAACTTGAGCCAAATGGCATCTGGAAGACAAATTTGCTGCAAAGAAATAATTCATTTCAAGGTTTAATGATGTTGATCAATGGATTCTCCACTGGTTGACATTTTTTTATGTGGCCATCATTTTTCTCTATTGACACAACTGAGAGGTGACTGGACTTTCTTTCTTGTTGACGTTGTTCTTCCACATATGACCATTTCTTCCCTCCTCCCAAGGCCCTGCACTTGAACCTGGATAAGGAATGATTAGTACTCTTCAGCTCACATGATTTTGTTCATGGGGCTACACTCTTAGCACTGCTGGGTTATGCTACCCTGGGCCCAGATTCTGGGGCACCAAGACTAGGATCATTTGAATGGTTTGCTTAAAATTTAAAAGACAAGGGCTCAGTGTAGTGGGGAAGACATGTGTTAAAGACCAGGCACTGAGCTAGGTCTGAGAATATGAAGACAAAGGTGCATGGTTCCTGTCCACAGGGGGCTTACACTCTATAGGGGGAGGCAGATCTGTAAACTAAGGAGTTACAAGAACTTTAACAGATGTATCTGCAAGGTAAAGGGGAGCAAAAATGAGAATGTGGTCTCCAAGGGTTACGCAGTCAGGAAAGGCTTCATAAAGGGAGCAGACATTTGATTTGTCTTAATGAGTAAGTGTTCTCCAGATGGACAAAGAACAGTCATTCCAGGAAGAGGGAACAACTTGAGTGTGATACTGCCAGAGTAAGGTGGTGAGAAAACAGGCCAGGCAAGGAGGCAGGGGCTAGGTGACTGCTAAAGATCAGACTGGTGGCAAGGGCCAGCTTTAGATATCTCTTCTCAGTTTTCATCCTGTGCTGCTGTCGAACCAGGGTGTCTAATTCCTGTTTTTTTTAAGGCCAGGTAGCAAGAAAAAATACTAGATTCTGACAGCCTCTTCCATTCTTGGCTGTTAGTGAGGAAATTTGCAACTGGTTGCCTTTTTATATTTCCCCTTTGTCTTGAAGATAATCAGTAGGCTTGTATTGTGCTTTTCTGCCTAGTGGAATTTGGTGTCTAGATCACAAAGGGGCCCTGCAATGCAAACCAGAGTGGGGACATGACGCCTGCTGTGGGTGCTGCTCCTGCTTACGACCCCAGCAAGGGGTTTGACTTCTTGGGAGAAATGAATTTCTTTTTTACTGCTTTTCTTAAATATTTTGCTCACCACCCCTTAACTCTGTAAAGTTACTAATCTTTTCTTGGAGGTCTTTAATGAATAGAATCTATATTACAATACTGCATTGTACAGAGACACCCCAGTTTCTCAATATGCAGCAAAAGGTTGGAGACTTTGTTTGGGGACTACACCGTGCCTGTTTTCTCGTAATGCTTTTGCATTTATGTTCTTAAATCACCTTTTTTAGTCTAATTGTTTGATTAAATTATACATTTCAGTTACATCTTGGTGATTGTATTTTTGTTTGGGGACATGGTGACCAATAAATAGGTGATGGGCAAAGGAGGGTGAGGCAGTAGCAGGGAGACATTGGGAGATGCTGTTCTCTAAGCTAGAGCTGGAAAGTGGGGAGCCTGATGCCTGAGTTTGGGGGGTATGAGGTAGAGAGGAATGATTTAACTCAGCAGGATGCCTTTAGGTGAGCTGGGCAATGAGTGAAAGTGAAGTTGCTCAGTCGTGTCCAACTCTTGTTGACCCTATGGACTGTAGCCTACCATGCTCCTCCATCCATGGGATTTTCCAGGCAAGAGTACTGGAGTGGGCTGCCATTGCCTTCTCCAGAGGATCTGCCCAACCCAGGGATCAAATCCGGGTTTCCCGCATTGTAGGCAGATGCCTTGCCTTACCGTCTGAGCCACCAGGGAAGGTGCTATTCTTTAAAGTGAGGGCATGTTGGAGGAGAGGTTTCAGGGAAAGATGAAGTCACCATCAGGCCTGTTGAGTGTGAGGGTTTATGGGATAACCATGTGTGGTCAGGTTGAAAAAGCACTTCTGAAGCTGGAGGAGAGGTCTGGACTGATGGGATGGTTTAGGTGTTATGAGCCTCCAAGGTGGCACTTGAAGTCATAGGGAAGGATGAGAATGTCTGGGAAGGGAAGGGAACCTGGGGGAGTAGTTAATGATGCTTGTGCAGTACAGCCCCCAGCTTTCCAGGGAACCAACAGCAGGCTGGAACCAACCCCAGGTGTGCTGGGGGCCCAAATCTCAGGAATTCTCTGGCCTGGCCTTGGGTGAACTCAGTGTGGAGCCTCAGAGCGCACAGATGGGTACTTGGTGCTCAGACAGATGCCTGAACCCTGAGTATGGTTACCAGGGAACTAGAGCAGGGTGCAAGGAGGCTGACCCTTACCCAAGTGTCCTGCTTGCAGTTATGGGGTTAACCCCTCATGTGATCCTTTGCATGTGCTCACGGATTGCTCCCCAAATATGTCCCTTTGTTTTCATATGTGTACCCCACGAGAAGCTCCTTCATGGGACAGACTCCTTAATATCCCCGGCTCCTTCTCACAGTCCCAGCCAGGAAATGCTAATGTGTAATATTTTTGCATAATCTGCTTTTCTTAAGCTTCTCTGAACCTGGTGAGTGGGGCATGGGGTTTTTGGCACCTGGTAGGACTGCAGGGATGTTTAGGTTTCCAAGGCTGGGTGAGCTCTGGGGCATCTATCTTAGCCCCGCCACTGAGTGAGCCACAGGAGCGGGAGGAGGCCTGATGGCGTCTCAGCAGGCCCAAAAGATATGACCTGGTGGCGCCTTAGTTTTATTTAAGGACTCCTGGTCGATTATCTTGACCTGACCTGTGGTCATTTATTTCCTCTTGCCCACTATCCCGAAGAGCAGGTATCTGATTCTCCTCTCCAAGCCCTGATTCTCTGCTTCTCCCTCCATTCTTTGCTTTCTTTTCACCCACACCCTGTTCTTTATTCCATCCTCCCAGGCTCACTTCCTGCTCTTCTACTCCCTGAGGGCCCCTTTACTAGGAAACCCAACTGTCACCTGTCCTGAGATTATTGCAGTTCCTTAAGTAGCTTCATCCCAGCCCCAGAGACTTTGGTCAGGTCACAGAAGGTCCCTGACCCCCAAGTTAGATTCCCTTAATCCACCACCATCTAGACCTCAGCCACGAGCCCCTGACAGGTCCAGTGACCTGAGCTGCTACAGGTGGCTCCCGTCATTAAACTCAAGTGCGGGGCCTCAAAGGGTGATTGTCAAGATGGGCTGAGTAGTTTGAAGGACGCCTGAGGTCTACTTGCTGGTTTAGTTAGGAAAAAATAGTGCCCGATGTGCCTTCAGGAGAGGAGCATCTTTCCCAGGCCCCTTTTATTTCAACCTCATAATCCTAGTATCTGGGATGGGTGAGCTACAGCGTTGAGCATCGCTGAACAGACCAGAGAGGTGGCCTTGGAGCACAGGACCCTGGGCGGGGAACTCAGACTGTGTGACCTCCACTCTCAAGCTGCTGGGGTGGCCTGATGCGAGTGGCATTTTCAACCAGGGCCAATCAGGTGTCCTGGAGAGGCCTCTGGCCTGGAGTGAGCGCGGGCTGCATCACTCTAAGTCCCCACCCCTGCAACTCTTAAGTCTCAGTAAGGGATAGATTGAAGCAGATGAGGGCTAATTAGCCACTGGGTCTCTCTGTTCTTTCCTCAGGCCATTAGCCATGCCAGGAAGAATACATCTTCCTGCTCCCCTTCTAACTCAGGCATCCCATAGGAGGCAAAGATGATCAGGTATGTGTCTCACTGGAGAAGGGAAACCCTGAGTGACAGCATGCTGTTCTGCCCATTAGGGGCTGGCACCTCATTTCCAAAGGATGCCGAGGAGTTAGGTCAGCGTCCGCCCTTGAAGCATAAGCCACAGTTCCCAGGAAAGGATTGTTCTTTGTGCCAGAGAGCAAAGCCGGTGGGGAACATGTGGCAGGAAGAGATCAGTTGTTAACATTCCCCTTCTTTCCTCTAGTCCCAATCCAGAACACAGTAAGGCAGTTTTCTAGTCACACATTCCACGCTTGAAAGGGGGTTGAATATACCTCATGTCTTCTGCCTCCTGCCCATGCAGCGATGACATGTGGGGCTGCTGGGCTGGGTAGGAAGCTTCATGTCAGGGAAGTCAGTGGTGGGTCTGGTATCACTCAAAGGGCTTAAGTATGCTTGTTGGATGGGCCTCCCTACTTTAATAAAGAAGTGATCAGGGCAGACAAACCTGTGATCCATCTTATTTCTTCAGCTGATGTGAGGGTGTTCAGGCTCTAAAGATAAGATGTTTGCTTGCAAAAATGCAGGCTGCTGGTAACAGAGGAAACCTAGTAAGGGGATAGAGAGCTCCAAGCGAGCCCTGCCACGCCTGCACAGAACAGCCACCATGGCTGGATCCTTCTGAGGCTGGTTAAGAGGAATTGTTGATATAAGAAAAGCACATACCGTTCTCTATATGCTTGAGAACAACTTGTCTCTTCCTTCAGCCCAGATGTTCTTCAGGCCCTTCCTAGGTTTAAACACAGGTACTGAACTGGCTCTAATCTCAGCCTGCCTACCATCACGAGCCCTGATCTCCTCATAGCCTTGTCCCATCCCCACCCCTCCAAAAATTCAGATCTGCAGCACTTGCTGAAACCAAAATTAGCCTGCTGCCCTCCCTGGGATGCTGGGGTAAGGGGATAGAAGAAAAATAGAATCTGTGGCCAGGGTTCTCTCTTGAGCTGGGTTCTGACCTGGCCCTCCACCCTGGGAAGGGGTCTTGGGGAATTGTTTTCTCCAGATTCTTTAGCCTTCTGCAAGTGACTGAGGTGAGGTCCTTTTGGGTTTCTCTCCCAAGCTTATTATTAACGGGCTCGGAGGCCAAAGCCCTCCTCCAGGGGTTGGAGAGTTGAGTGGGGGAATTCACTTGCTGGTAAGGGAAGCACTGCTGTTGTCGTGAGTCTGTGGACAGAGCCTGCCTGCTTTGATCTGGGCAAAACCAGGCAAAACAAAGCAAAACCTCCTGCACCGAGCCCAGCCCTCTGGAGCCCCACCAGGTGCTCTGGGAGCTTGTGCCAATGCCAGGTCCGTGTGGCTGAGGCCCCTTCTGGGCTGTGGCCTGGATTTGCCAAGGTCAGAAGGGCAAGGCCCCACCCTGGGCCCAGTGTGGACTGCTCTGAAGAGACCAGCGCTCCCTTCTCAGGATTCCCTGCTACAAGGGAAAAGACAAAGGAAGCTGCATTGCCAAGTTGCAGATTTTGCCTCAGGCAACTAAATTTATTAGCAAGAAAAAATTTTTGTCAGCCCAGCGCTGACCAACAAAGTACATCGTTAATAAAGGATAACAAATCTGTCACTTAATTCATAAAACATACCTCAAGCAGTTACAACTAAAAATAAAGTTGGATTTTTGTTTTAATTTAAAAGCCTCAAAAATAACAAGCAATATGTTTTTAAACATGTAGTAGACACAATTGTCTATTATACAATATACACTGTACACTTGTAGGGCTTGGGCTGGTCGGGGTGGGTGAGATGATGAGGAGAGGGATGAGGTTCAGGATGGGAAGGTGTTTTATCTGAATCCAGATTTGAGTTGAAATGCTGTGTCATTTAGAAAAGAGAATTGCTAAAGTGAGAAAAAAAATTCATATGCTCATCATTGCCCCCCAAAAAACCCTAAACTAAAAGCAGGCATGGGGGAGGTGAATAACAAGGACAGGAAGAAGGGAGCAATTAAATAAACTTCTTTAAAGCACACACAATACACAGTGTTCATCATCGGAAGTAGAGTATAAGGCAACGTTCTCCATAGAAAAAGAGGGGAATCAGGGAGTGGGTGGGTAGCTTTACTTTTTAAATAGAAAGTTGGAATGTGCTGGAGGAGAGTCGGGGTGGGGCGGGGCATGTGGAGTGGAGGCGGACTGGCTGCCAGTGGAGCCCTGGGGGCAGGACCCTGGGCGTCAGGGTGTCCTCGATGGCCGAGGGGGCCAGGGAGGTGGAGGAGAGGGAGGGGGCATGGCACGATGCGACTCCGGCAGTGTTGCAGGGAGGGGGCTCACTTCGCTCCTCGACGGAGTGAAATTCATGTTTTTCCTTTGGAAATAAGGGTTCCCACTCGTCCTGGTTTAGAACGTCTCATTGGGCATGGCCAGTGTCCATGGTTTGGGCAGGCCAGGAGCTTGTGGTGAGAGGGGAGGGCCAGGGCGGAGCCAGGGGGCTTCAGAAGGAGGTGCATATGGGGGCAGCAGAGCCCCTTCCCATGGGGACAGTCGCACAACAGGAAGGGGGTCGAGGTGGGCCCATGAAGCGTGGGCCTCCTTTCTGCCAGAGGCCCAGGCAGGACACGGGCAGGTCTGCGTCTGTGGGGCCTCTTGCCTCAGTTGGCCTTACAAGTTCTTCGTGACCAGATGGGTCTTATAATGCTTGGTGAGGTGGTCACTCCTCATGAAGCGCTTCTGACACTGGGCACACTCAAAGCGTTTGTCCCCTGGGAAGAGGAGATGCCTGTCACTCAGATATGTGTCCCTCTGCCGAACCCCGTCTCAAAGTCCTCCCCCTCACAGGAAAAGCCCTCTCCCCTCTGACCTCCCAGCCTGAGCATTAACGGCCCGAATCACACCCACCCACCCGGGCTGGGTTAGCTACTGTTCTGAGTATTTATTTACTCTGAGGCTACAAGGGTGGGTGAGACCTGCCCCTCACACTGGCCTCATGTCCCAGGCCCAGGCCACGTGTCTGCTCACTGGGAGCATCTGCCAGAATAGCAGTTCTCAAAGCCTGTGCTGTGGACCACTGGAGGCAGTCAGCACAATCTTAGGTGGAATGGATGAATATTTTTCTACCTTATAGTTTTGTATTTATTTGCCAGTACATTAAAATACTTAGCTGTGGTCTCAAGCCTGTGATGTGAAAAGTAATCCTTCACTGAACATAAAAGAGTAAAAAGAGTGAAATGATTTAAGGAAAACCATTTGTTAAATAACAGTAGGAAAGTTGGAAGCCAGAGGGCCTGGGTTGAACCAGCTCCGCCAGTCACTGGCTATGTGACCCTGCCCCCTCTCCATGCCTCAGAAAATGGGCATAATCATAGTACTGTTCCCACAGAGTCATATGGAAATTAAATTGTTAATGAGTAAAATGTCTACGAGATTGCAAGACTGACCATCGACATCTTAGGAATCAGTGAACTAAAATGGATGGGAATGGGCCAATTTAATTCAGATGACCAATTCCTTAGAAGAAATAGAGCAGCCCTCATAGTCTACAAAAGAGCCTGAAATGCAGTACTTAGGTGCAACCTCAAAAACAATAGAATGATCTCGGTTTGTTTCAAAGGTAAACCATTCAACATCACAGTAATCCAAGTCTATGCCCCAACCACTGATGCTGAAGAAGCTGAAGCTGACCAGTTCTATAAAGACCCACAACACCTTCCAGAACTAACACCAAAAAAAGATCTCCTTTTCAGTACAGGGGTGGAATATAAAAGTAGGAAGTCAAGAGCAACCCGGACTACAGGCAAGTTTGGCCTTCCAGTACAAAATTAAGCAGGGCAAAGGCTAACAGAGTTTTGTCAAGAGAACACACTGGTCATAGGAAAATACCCTTTTCCAACAACCCAAGAGACAACTCTATACATGGACATCATCAGATGGTCAACACCAAAATCAGATTGATTATATATTCTGTGTAAACAAACATAGAAAAGCTCTATACAGTCAGTAAAAAGACCTGGAGCTGCCTGTGGAGCTCCAGATCATGGAGCTCTGCCTGGAGCTCAGATCATGAGCTCCTTATTGCAAAATTCAGGCTTAAATTGAAGAAAGTAGAGTAAACCACTAAGCCATTCAAGTATACCTAAATCAAATCCCTTGTGATTATACAGCAGAGGTGATGAATAGATTCAAGGGGTTAGATCTGGTAGACAGAGTGCTTAAAGGACTATGGATGGAGGTTTGTAACACTGTACAGGAGGTGGTGACCAAAACCATCCCCAAGAAAAAGAAATGTAAGAAGGCAAAATGATTGTCTGAGGAGGCTTTACAAATAGCTGAGGAAAGAAGAGAAGCAAAAGGCAAGGGAGAAAGGGAAAGGTAAACCCAACTTAATGCAGAGTTGTAGAGAATAGCAAGGAGAGATAAGAAGGCCTTCTTAAATGAACAATGCAAAGAAATAGAGGGGTGGGAGGGGGATCGGGATGGGGAATACATGTAACTCCATGGCTAATTCATGTCAATGTATGACAAAACCCACTGAAATGTTGTGAAGTAATTAGCCTCCAACTAATAAAAATAAAGGGGAAAAAAATAGTAAAAAAAAAACCCACAAAGAAATAGAGGAAAACAACAGAATGGAAAAGACTAGAGATCTCTTTAGGAAAATTGGAGATATCAAGGGAACATTTCATGCAAGGATGGGCATGATAAAGGACAGAAACAGTAAGGATCTAACAGAAGCAGACAAGATTAAGAAAAGGTGGCAAGAATACACAGAAGAACTATACAAAAAAGATCTAATGACCCTGATAACCATGATGGTTTGATCTTTCACCTAGAGCCAGATATCCTGGAGTCTGAAATTAAATGGGCCTCAGGAAGCATGACTACAAACAAAGCTAGTGAAAATAATGGAATTCCAAGTCTGAGGAGTTCTTTAAAATCTTAGAAAATAATGCTGTTCAAATGCTGCAGTCAATACGTCAGTAAATTTGGAAAACTAGGCAGTGGCCACAGGACTGGAAAAAGTCAGTTTTCATTCCAATCCCAAAGAAGGGCAATGCCAAAGAATGTTCAAACTATGTACACTTGGGCTTATTTCACATGCTAGCAAGGTTATGCTCAAAATCCTTCAAGCTAGGCTTTAGCAATATGTGAACTAAGAACTAGATGTACAAGCTGAGTTTAGAAAAGGCAGAGGAATCAGAGATCAAACTGCCAACCTTTGCTGGATCATAGAGAAAGCCAGGGAATTAAAAAAAAAAAAATCTACTTCTCCTTCACTGACTACTACTCCTTTGACTGTGTGGATCACAACAAACTGGAAAATTCTTAAAAAGATAATACCAGACCATCTCACCTGTCTCCTGAGAAACCTGTATGTGGGTCAAGAAGCAACAATTAGAACTAGACATGGAACAACTGACTGGGTTCAAAATTGGGAAGGAAGTACAACAGGCTGTATATTGTCACCCTAGTTATTTAACTTACATGCAGAGTACATCAAATGAAATACTGGGCTGGATGAATCACAAGCTGGAATCAAGATTGCTAGGAGAAATACCAATATCAGATATGCAGATGATACCACTATAATGGCAGAAAGTGAAGAGAAAATAAAGAGCCTCTTGATGAGGATGAAAGAGGAGAGTGAAAAAGCTGGCTTAAAACTCAACATTAAAAAAAACTAAGATCATGGCATCCGGTCCCATCACTTCTTGGCAAATAGAAGGGAAAAAAGTGGAAGTAGTGACAGATTTTATTTTCTTGAGCTCTAAAGTCACTGCAAATGGTGACTGCAGCCATGAAATTAAGACACTTGCTGCTTGGAAAGAAACCTAGACAGCACAGACATATTAAAAAGCACAGACATCACTTTGCCAACAAGTGTCCATCTAGTCAAAGCTATCGTTTTTCCAGAAGTCATGTGAGAGTTGGACTATAAAGAAGGCTGAGTGCCGAAAAATTGATGCTTTCAAATTGTGGTGCTGGAGACGACTATTAAAAGAGTCCCTTGGACTGCAAGGAGATCAAATCAGTCAGCCCTAAAGGAAATCAACCCTGAATTATAGGAAGGACTGATGCTGAAACTCCAATATTTTGGCCACCTGACGTGAAGTGCCAACTCATTGGAAAAGACCCTGATGTTGGGAAAAAAAGAAGGCAAAAGGAGAAGAGGGCAATAGAGGATGGGATGGTTAGATAGCATCACTGACTCAATGGACATGAATCTGAGCAAACTCCTGGAGAGAGTGGAGGACAGAGCCTGGCGTGCTGCAGTCCATGGGGCTGCAAAGAGTCGGACATGACTTAGAGACTGAACAACAATGTGCTTGGCACAGTGCTTGTTAAATAACTATGCAGCTGTGGCAGAAGTCATCAAGGCCATGTCGTGCAAGTGACCTCACTGTGGGAAACACTGTAGAAAAGGAAAGGCTTGCGAGAACCTCCCGGTAGGCCTGCGCCGGAGAAGACAGTCTGTGCCCTGCGCTCAGTGTGGCTGGCAGTACCGTGGCCAGGCCAGGAATCTCCATGTCACTGGTGGGAAGCTGACATGGGGGTGGGCTGGAGGGCGCTGCAGGGGAGGGAAGCAGACCTGTGTGGGTGCGGGCATGCCGCTGGAGCTCGTCACTCCGTGTGAACCTCTTGCCACAGAAGAACCAGTTGCAGACAAAGGGCCGCTCGCCGGTGTGCAGGCGCACGTGAGCCCGCAGCAGGGATGTCTTACGGAAAGTCTTGCCGCAGTCAGGGATGTGGCACACGTGCTTCTTCTTGCCCTGCTCTCCAGATCTGGGAGGTGGGTTGAGGGTAGGGTAGAGGAAAAGCAGAGAGAGCGGCAGGTAGAGATGGGGCAGGACAGGGTGGAGAGAGGACGTGGGGTCAGGCTGGAGAGCACAGGAAGGGGAGGAGGCCAGGTGGCAGGAACCGCTGCCCCATCCCCTCTCTGTGTCCCAGGGAGGGCTTGGGGAACAGGGCACATGCTGGGCTGGCCACCTGGCCAGTTGCCTCGAATTACCTCTTGTCCCCGTCCTTGCAGTTGGGACACGTGCAGGCCATGCGGCGCCGCTTCTCCCCAGGCTGAGCCTCTCCAGCCAGGGCCTGTTCCATCTGCAGCTGGATCTGCGTGGGGCTCAGCCCACTGATGGTCAGGTTGTTCCCAGAAACATTCTGCACAGTCAGCTGCTGTTGTCCTGTGGGGAGGACGCGGACAGAGTTCAGGGTGAGGAAGCCCAAAGGGGCAGAGGAAGGAGCCTGACCCCTGTCTGCCCTCCTGCACAGGGTGAGGTTGAGAGTCATAGTGGCTAACAGTTTTCAGCCTGCTATGTGCCAGATACCATTTTAGAGATCTTAAATGTATTTAACGCATTTAAGCTTCATAAGCCCATGAAATAGGTACTGTCGTCCCCCTTTTACAGATGAAGAAACTGAGGCTCACAGTCACACAGTCAGAACTTGTAGAACTTGGATCTGAACCCAGGTCGTCAACTTCAGAGTCAATGACCAGAACCACTATGTGGTTTAGCCTGCCCACAGGCTAAAGTCACTTCCAGACACTGCCCATTTGGGTCTTATCTTGAAATGCTTTCCCAGAATCTCCTCCAGCTTTAGGTCCTTGTGAGACACCAACTCTGCTCCCAGAAGAGCATCCAGGAATTATTATTCATAGAGGGAGAGACAGTGCTTTGCGCTCTGGAATAAATCAAGTCCCCTGGGACCTGCACGAAGCCATCAAAGCAGGGGAGTGCCCGCAGGCGGACTCCTCCCAGCTGCTAAACCAAAGGCGTGAAGTGCCTGAAATTCATTTAAGGACGAAGAGAGGAGATTCAGACAGATTCCTCTACTCTGAAAAGTGCCCTTCACCCAGCTAAGGAATGCAATGCACCATTTTTTGCTCGGTAACTACTGTTTGATTATCTGCAAGGTGGTTTTCATACTGAAGATATTACTAAATATTTTGCCACCGAACTGAGTGCCATACAAGCCAGTCTTGCTGCCAAAGGTTCCCTTCTCTTCTATCAACCATAAGTCAAGACTTTCTCCAAGAAGCCTTCCTTCAAGTACCTTTACCCAGAGCCTCCCTTGAATATGTCTTTGGTCTGCACCAAACTACTTTGTATGCATATGTTAGTTGGAAAGTTTTCCTGAGTGTATCTTATGCTCTCCATCATATTCAAGGTCTTTAGCTGTCAGGAAGGGCCAATGTGTGTCTTAAACTATCTTACAAAGCTGCTGTAAGGACCAAGGGAACATGCTTTTAAGCTGGAAGGGACCAGGCAAACGTCAGGCCTGTCAGGCAGCACAAACACGCTGCCCACACCCCGGCCCAGGGGACTTCCCTCACCGCCAGTGTTGGTGATTGTGACGGGCACGCCCTGGACCTGGACACCGTTGATGTTGATGGTCTGCATGGCCTGGGCCGCCGCTGCCAGCTGTGCTGCGTTCAGGCTGATGATGCTCCCAGCAGGAGCAATCTTTGGCAGGGGTCGCTCTTTCCGGAGAATTGCAGCCGAGTGCTTTTTGCTGGTCCCACTCAGATGGGCAGCACGGGACGCGGGGCTACTACACGTGGTGGTGGAGGCAGTCGCAGCTGTTGCCGGAGGGCTGTCCTGGACAAGGACCGTCTGTACCTCACCAGAAGGCGTACGGATATAGACCTGGGAGGGGCCAGAGAGAAAAAGTCAGTGCCCCCTGAGAGTCCTGGCGCCTGCCACCTTTCAATGCAACGCCATCTCCCTGCCCCAAGGAAGAAACGGGGACCTCTTTGTCCACTCAAGTCTTCTCCAACTAGCCCAGACCTACATTTGCCCGCTGCTGATGCCCAACAAACAGGGCTGATGGCATCCCTGTACTAAGCTGACAGATGTTATCTGCTGATTTGAAACAAAACAGTTTACTTAGCATAGAAAAATATAATGCCAAATCTTCGAACTGAAGAATTAGAAGGCAGCTAAATGATGATCTCACAAAAGACGCACTGTGAATGCTCATCGAACAAATGAAAACAGCCTTTAGGAGATCCCTTTGCCACAAAGGAATCTCTGGGGCAAGTGGTGAGACCTGAATGGAGTCTCTGAATTAGAAGTTAGTGTGCTTCCTTGCTAGTTTTCTATGCTTGAGGGTTGTGCTGTTGTTATATAGAATGTCCTTCTTGTGTATGAGAATTACACACTTTCTATAAAATATTCGGGAGTAACAGGGGCAAGATGACAACTTATACTCAAATGATTTGTTTAAAAAAAATTCTGCTATGATTTTGATTGGAGTTATTTTTTTTAATTGGGATTATTTTTTGATCCTTGGATTATTTAGGACCATATTTCTCAGTTAAAAGCAAACAAACCTCATGTTATGTATTATTTAAATATACATCTCATCCTCAATTTTCTCGTATGTGCCTGCCCCCTTTGCAAATCATTGCTATTTTCTGCATATCTGAAATTTCTGTTACTAGAACATTTTCTTTTCCACAATATAGAGCATAGTCCAACACACTTTTTCTCTACAGGGAAGATAATACATATTTTAGGCTATGCAGGTCTTGAGGTCTCTGTCTTATGGTGAATAACCATACAAATTGGCCACATGTGACCTCAGGACTGAGGACTGAGAACCTCTCTTATAGAGAGTACAGTACATTTTTAAAAACATGCCTATCCTTTGACCCACTTTTAGGAATTTAGTGACAAGATTGAAATTAGCCTAGAAGATCCATAGTTAATAGCTGGGTTTTAGATGGATAACAGACAATACCTCAGGAAAGGTACCATCATTAAAACATAACATTGTAGTGCTAAAAAACTTTCTGCACATGTATTCTTACTTCTTAGGAGGACCCGATTTTAAGCCCTACCTCCATCAGTCTCAAGACCCGGGAACTTAGAGAAGAGAGGGAGGCACCTGGAGGCTGCAGCACCTGAGCAGTATTGCCTCAGGTCTTCACCATCAAGGTAGGTCTGATAAGGGAGGCTCACACGTGCTATAACAAATTACACTGATTCATAGAAAGCCACTTGGCAGTGTGCAATATACCAGAAGGGAGGAGGCACTTGACGGCGGGCCTCAGATTTCCTCCCCAGGGTGCTTCTCCCCTGCACAACTCCCTACTGTCATCACTCACCCTGATGCCCTGGTCCTCTCTACAGACAGCTGGATTATAAATTCCTCCATGGCAGGAGCTGGTCTTTTATATTAAAAAAGAAATCCTTATACAATTTTAAGTGTAGCCCCTGCCACACATAACACACAGTGAGCCAGGGTGGAATAAGGGAAAAAAAATGTGGGTCTGAAATCTGAGTTGAATCCTGGCTCTTTGGGTTGAATCCAGTTATTTCTGCTCTATTAGATCTGGATATTAATAATTTCCCTGAGTTTCAGGTTCTCCACCTGCAACATGGGCCTAATCTCTGGCTTTTACTAAATTTACACAAAGTATAAATGCTGCCCTGCAGAGCCACATAAATTTGAATATTACAGCCCCCTAATAAATGTCAAAGTAACTTCCTGTTTAGGTCAGCATCACAGATGGATCTATCCTAAATGTTCCTGCTGTAAAGCTAGGGATGGGTGCCTCTTCTGAACTTTTGTCATTAACAATGATTAGCATTTTTCTCATTAGTTTTCTTACTTTATATCAAATGCTATGGTTCTGACTAGAATTTTTTCACTCTTACTATCATTCTGAGTATGTAGTTCTAGAATAAAAAAAATAAAATTTTTGTGGCATGTGGGATCTTAGTTCCCCAACCAGGCATTAGACCTGTGCCCCCCTGCAACGGAAGCAGAGTCCTAACCACTGGATTGCTGGGGGAAGTCCCTGAACTTACCAAAAGACTCCCCTAAAGGAAGTTTTCAAAATATAGGTATATATGCATGCTGTACCTGATTTCTAAAGATAAGCAGTATGTGGCCCTACGATCTGGCAGAAATGGGCCCTTACTACCCATCCCAAACGATCCTGACTCCCAACACTGAGGTCAGATGGGAAGATGCATCAGCATCACCTAGGCAGGCGAGCCAAGTGGAATGGAGAATCAGCCGTTTCGAGCCGAGGAGAGGGGAGCGCTGCGGAAAGGTGAGCGTGGTACCTGAGTAGGTGACGGCTCAGCAGCCTGGATCTGGAAGTTCTGGGAGGGCTTCTGGGGGACGGTGGGGAGTGTGGCGGACGCTGCCTGCACCACCCGCAGGGCCTGCTGTGGAATCTGCACCACCTGCTGCTGCTCGGCCTTGGGGGGTACCACCTGGACCTGCTGGACCACGGCTGGCTGGCCCCCGCCGGGGCTCTGAACAATGAGCAGGTTGTTTCCAGCTTGGATAATGTTGTCCGCGGTGGTCTCGATCAGCACCGTCTCCACCTGCTCGGCCACGGCCACAGGGGGCTGGGCAGCAGGAAGACTCTTCTTCCTGGCTTTCTTGTTAGTCTTAGACAGCGGGGCAGGAGGGCTCTCCGTGAGGAGCTGAGTGGTGGCCGCGGGGTCGCTGGTGTTCACGAGGTTGTTGACAGGCAGAGTAAGGGTCACATTGCCGCCGCCACCTGTCAGCTTCACCACGTTGGCCCCGCTCTGTGCCGGAGTGGTGGCCGTACTCGACTTCTGGACAGGGGCTGGCTTGATGGGGACAGGCTTGTGACTGGACGGGGACGGGGTGATGATGGCTTGGTTGGTGCCAGGGATGATCTGGATCTGGTTGGTGAGACTGGGCTGCACCTGGATGGTCTGAGGACTGCTGGCCTGGATCTGAGGGACCGCCTGGTACTGGATACTGGTGTTTGATCGGGTCCCTTTGTTGACCACGGTGGGGTTCTGGATAGCGAACACCAGCTGCCCCCCAGGGTAGGACGTGCTCAGCTGTGACCCCTGAATCTGAAGTATGTTTCCTTTGGAGGACAAGATTCCAAAACTATTCTTGCCGGGGCTGAGAGGGAGAGGGGCGGGTTTGATAGGGACGAGTTTCCGTGGAGTGGGCTGGGGGGGAGCAGGAGGCGTCACTGCAGCTTCAACAGCTGGAGGGCCGATTTTGCTACATGTCGCGGCAAGCAGTGCTAAGGGAGATGGCTGGGAGTCCTGCAAAACACCAGGAGACCAAGAGTAAGACATGAGGCCTGCTGCTCAGCCGCCTCGCCCTTTAGGATCCTCTCCTCCTGGCAGGCTCCTCCCCACCTGACGAGTGGGGTGCCAGCATCCTTCCCCTGCAGTTGTCCCAGTCTCCCCATCCCCAGTGGTTTCTCCACTGAGGAATTAACAGAGAAAAGGTAGGAAGGAGCTCCCCAGAAGTACCCCTTGGCAGGGTGAACTAGCAACATGAGCTGACCTCTTACTCCCTGGGCCTAATGGTGTCTAATGGGGACCTGGAGTCACCCTTAGCTTGTAGACGGAGCTGTTAGCCTCAACCCCACCCCAGCGATAAAGGATGCTTGAGTCATCAAGTGAGGAAGAACTGAGGAAGGGAAGGAGGGAAAGACAAACGGAGGGGGGCAGGAGGAATAAACCCTTTGGAAAAGTGTTTTCCAGTGCTTGGGACATGACATTTTCAAAGGGGGAGGGCTGCTCTTTCGAAGCTACAAGGAAAGAGCCGCTGGGGTGCAGGGACAGTCTCTGTTTTCCTTGTATGGTCAGTGGGGTCTGGTGGAAGGACCTTGAGTTGCATCCTGCTTTTCCCCCGACTCAATTGTTGTACCTTAGATGAGCTGCCTTGGTTTCTTAGGTCAGAAAAAGTGAAAACCTGAACCCTCCCTGGTCTCATAGCCTTGGGGAGTGACAGTGAGCCAGCACAGAGCTTCAGTTGTGGTTTCATGTCAGCTTCAGCAAGTCCTTCCGGGCTGATGCAGCCCCCAACCCCCAGAGCCCACTGCCCACTCGCCTGGGTGGTAGAGGCGGCAGGCTGCAGGTAGTCACTGGGACTGACAGCGGCAGTGGCAGCCATGCTGGTCTGTGGATCTGTTGGAAGAAAAGCGATGGAGTAATACCCATGATGCTTGAAAAGAACCCACGTCCCCTGGCCTCAGATTTTCTTTTTGCCTCTACTTGCCGTTGCTTCCCCATGAGAGGTTGATGACCTTTCCCCACACTACCCTACTCAAGGTTAGCAACCCTACAGAGACCTTCTCTCTTTCTCAGACTTAGCCATCCAGGCTGTTGAGGACAGCTGGTCAGGCCTCCACTGGGCTGTCTTCCAACCATCAAAAAGTCTAGAATAATGTAAAGATACCGAGACTACGAAAACACGGGCTTCAGTAACCAAGCGGTGCCACCTAACGGAGCCCCTATACGGTGGGCATGGGCGTCCCCGCCCCCAGCTATTCCTGTAGCTCAGACAAGGGCTTCTGCTCACTCCTGCTGTAACCAGATGCCAAGCCAGTCTGGGAGAGGAGCATCGCTGAGCTGGGATCTCTGACAAGGAGGACACACCCACTCCATGTAAAAGTCTAGATCGCTTTATGCTCAGCCTTTACCACATGAACACAATGGCCTAGGTATCGAGCTATATATATACACAGAGAGAGAGCACGCGCGTGCACGCACATGAGTAATTACTTTAAATGAATTTATGGTTTTACACAGGATGATAGGCATGGCCCCATAGTATCACCGAGACTAGGAGAGTTAATAACTGAATGTAATGAGAATGAAATATCATAAATCCTACTTTTTCTTAAATGTGTATGTAATTCTATATATGAATGTAGCAGGAAAAAAATCTATTAAAAAAAAAAAGGCTAAAATGTTAAAAGCCATTATCTCCTGGTGGTAGATTTTTGCTTTGCTTAAAGAATTTTTCCCATTTTTATGTATTTTCTCATTTTCCCCACAGTGAATATACTCTACTCTACTTTCGTTTTAAATAAAGGAAAATAAAGAACGTTGAGGAAGTAATGAAGGAATCTCTACTCTGAACTTAGGTCTGATCTAAGAGAAACTGAAGACAAGTAAAATGGAAATCAGGGGAATTTAAGACTCAAAGCCATCTTATAGTTTATAGATCACAAGGAAAAGAGCACCATGCAGAGAGTCAGACTTGTATATACCTCAGACCTTTGGAAAGCAGGTTTCAGGAAGTACAGAAACAAGAAGGGTATCACTCAGAGACAGGAAGAGGCAGAACGGCTCAGGCATTGAGCCCCTGGAACCACTCATAGTTTGGCTGGTCTCTGGCTTCTCTTTGGGAGAATGATTCTTAAATGGGAAAAGGTCAAGAAAAGGTAAAGTGGGAACTGCAGCCCAGGACAGGTTAGTAAGCAGGCTCGTCAATGCCTTAAACGGTTTCCAGGCCCCGAGGCCACGTGAGCCGCACTCCACAGTAGGCAGAGACTTTGCAGTAAACTGCGTGAGGAGCCAGAGGGCAGCTCTGGGCAGATCGCACAGGTGGATCCTGAAATATCACAGACACTGATCCTCAGCAAAACCCTAAAACAAATAGCTGAACAGCGCTACAATTACTCAGGTAAGGAAGGCAGTGATCTCAAGGAATAAGCATGGGGTTGCTAAAACCAAGTCATGCTGAACAAACCTGTTTCTTTTTTATGGGGCTTTGGATGGCTACACTGAGAGAATAGTATACAAAAGCTCACTGTGTATCAACAGGGCATTTGACTGAAATGGTCATAGTATTCTTATGAACAAGAAGGGAAAGAACTACACGCAGGATGATAGTCTAGTTTGGGGGCTAAGCTGAACATGCCTCCACCTAAGTGCTGAGATCCAGTCTGTCCTGAGCAGGGTGCTGCTGTGAGGTCAACCAGGGTCTCCTGCTAGAGGTGGGTCTCCCGACCGGGTCGGCAGGGTTCCCCTCGGAGGCGCATGCTTTCTCTAGCAGAATGTTTTAGTCTTGTGTTTTCACTGCGATGATCATCTTCTAAAGATGAACATACACTGGGACTTCCCTGATGGTAAAGTGGTTAAGATTTCGCAGTTCCACTGCAGAGGGCATGAGCCTGACCTCTAGTCAAGGCTAGGATCACGCATTGACTCGTGAAGCAGCCAAAAAAGAACATGTAACTACAGATGACTGAGTAACTGCTGCTTCACCAAGATTTGCACATTTCTGGGCCTCTGTGAGTGTGTACAACTGTACTGGTACCAAGTGGCGCCACTCTAACTACATGGGCTTAAGGCAACTTAATTCTGCACATTTAATTCATGGCACATTTGTGCAAAGTGAGGGATGATGGCTCTTCAGAAGCCTTGGAGGACCACGCTGCTGGACAATAGACGCTGCAGGGTGGGTGTGCAGAACTCAAGGAGCCAGGGTGTCAAATCTGTGCTGAACGTATACTGATAGCAGCGATTTAGGTTCAGTCAACTCTTCCCCCCACCAAATGATGCTCTTGATTATACTGGCTTTTCTTTAGTTAATTAATTTTATAGGAACTACATCTATGAACTGATAAACAGATTGAGGTGTATACATAAGTAAGTTGCAGCCTTACAGTGAAAATAACCTAAGTTGACTGAAAAAACATCTTCCCTTTAGAACAGTGTTCAAACTATTTAGACTATGAACCACAATCATAAAAACAATTTACATCAAGACCCAGTATATGCGCATACACCCCCACATACTTCCCTGTCCTGTGCTCATGCAAGAAGAATTTCCTGAAATAAAATTTGCCCTTGCTACATGTGATCGGCTTTGATATTTTTCTACCCTATTTCATTTTTTTTAATGCCAGTTGTGACTCACTAAATTGGTTTTGTGCCCTACAGGCTGGAAACATGGCTTCAAAGCAGTCTATCCACCACCCAAGTTAGGGAAACCATGCAAAGACCTAGAAGGCAAATTAACTTTATGAATGTCACAAAACTGAGGATTGTAAACACAATGGGTGTCTGTACTAGGGTTCAAAGAGAACTTAAAAAAACCGGTATGTGCAGTGCTTAAGAGCATGAGGCTCCAGACCAAAATGAGCATTCATACTGTGGGACGGCTGAGGCATTCCTCTCCTAGCCTCAGAGCACCACCTGTAAAACAGAGGTAATGTCATCCTGACACGATTCTAGGAGGCGTCAGTAATGAACAATATTGAGTATAGAGTGGGTAATCAATAAATGGTGGTTTAAACTTTGAAGCTGAGTAAACACTGCATTTGAGTTAAGAAGAAAAAAAAAAAAATCACACGCATATAGGACAGGAAGACAGAGCTTAATCGTGTTTCTCATGTGAAAAAGCCCCAGTGGTTTTGACTCAAAGTTAAATGGGAAGCAATAGAACCTAGATGTGGTTGCCAAAAAAGCTACTGCAATCTTGGACTGCATTTCCAAAAGTTCAGTCACAGAAGAAAATAATAGTGCTCGTCTGCTCTGTATGGGGCCCCGCCTGGAGTGTCAGGTTCCGTCCTGAGGGATGTTTTGAAAGAGGGACTTTCAAGTGGAGCTTGAGGGCAGCTGTGGTAGTGACCAGGACACCAGAGCAGCAATATCCACCAGGACATTTATTCCACATGTGTACTGCATGAGAAGAACCAAGACTGTGGGGTAGAAATTTCAGTTTACTAGAGGGGAGAACTTTCAAATGATGGGATCAGTTGCCTCCTGAGGTAATGTTCTCCCTTCTCTGGAGTCATTTAGCCAGAGGCGGGGTGTGTGTCCCTCTGGTGGGGTGGGAAGGTGGATGAAATGATCTGATCTGAGAATTTAAATTTTTTAATAATCCTCAAAACTCACTGCCGATAAAAACACAGGATGAGTTAGTTGCTGGCAGGGCTGGGAAGGGCAGGCAGGGGCTCTTCCAGGAGGCTCCCCTGGGCTCAGGCTCACTTAGCTAAAAATGGTGAATGACTCTCCCTCTGACATCCCCTGTTATGAAACAGGAGGACACCAGAAAAGGATAGAGTGCAAACAAAATGAAAACTGGCCCGGCGCTTATTCACCTCCCTTTCCCATCTCTCTCCCTCTGCGGTTATTAGCACCCTGGACTCAAAGTGTCTAGAGATTTGGCTGGGCTGAGTGGCTTTTCAGTTGGGAAGTTATAGCAGAGTCCTGATGCCAGCGCAGGCTGAGGGTGTTCCCCCTGCACCATCTTGGTTGGTTTCATTTTCCTCCCTGCCCAGCCCCTGAAATATTCCTCTAGATCTCAAACCACTGGTTTCTCTCCTAGAGTCTCACAGAGCTTTGTGGCTCCCAGGCTGTGGAGCTGGGCAACCAAAATGGAGACTCATCTCCTTGCCACTGCAGAATGACATCCTGGGATTACCCATGAAAGGGGAAAGACACATTTCCAGTTGGTATTTGGAAATGAACAGTGATTATGAAGTGGTACAGATGCATAACTGCAGGACTAGAGTCAAAGGTACTTTAGAACCTCATTAATTTGGAACCTTATGTCTAAAATGTGTAATCTGGACATAAATTGTGCTTAACTTTCCCTTCATACTTTGAAAGCTAGGCTAACCAGTGTATGAAGACTGCAAAGGGACTCTTAAGGCACGGTTAGGAAACTGTTTCACACCACTGCCACTTTCAATTGCACCATTTGCTTTAAACAGCAGTTTACAGCTGTTCACTGAAACCTACTTTAGCAACATTGGTAAGTGACACTGTTGCATATTCTTGGAAGAAAAGGCTGCATTTCCTTCAGAGTGCTATCATTCAGACTTTCATTAATTTGGGTTGGCTAAAACTTTCCCACCAGTTCCCTGGCTCATGAAGTTTTCTGGTGATTTGCTATACCAGCAATTGCAGCTCTTTTAGGCCTCAAGGAAAATTTCCAAGGCTGTCACAAAAGGCTTCCAGGCAGAGGTTGGGGGGTGTTCAGTGCCTGACCAGTCTACCCTTGATTTTCCTTTTCCCTATACTGGAAGCCAACTTAATTCCAATTTAAAACCGGGAGTGTCCCAGATCTGGATAAACATATAATGGTTCATCTCCACCTCCATCCCTCCAGCTGCGGCTTCCTCACTCTTTGGCCAAACTTAGTGGAAAAGCTACCAGCATCCTGCTGT